AAAAATATCAAAAAATCATTCAGGATCTTCACTCCTGCTGGATCCCTGAGACAAGTCTTGCTAAAAGCTGCAGTATCCCTGTTCTGTGGAAGCAATTACCTGAAGATAAGTACTTGGGACAAGTGTGTTGAATCCTTTGCTGTAAAAGTGGTGCTATAAAGGGGGGGTTTGATGGAATTATACAGAGAGATTTATTTAGATTTCTTTTCCACATCTCAGCATCTCGTGGGTGACCAGCTTCATGTGTAGKTTTTAAGAGACAGATTTTAGATGGAAGCCTGTTTTGTTCTCTGATACGATTTTAGGGGTTAATTCTCTCGAAATGCAACAGTAACAATAAAGCAGTATTAAACATTGGTATAGAGATTTATGTACATTAAAATGTTTTTTATAAACACCTGAAAATAGTAAGATTATTCTGTGGGTTTTTTTTTTATTTTTCTGTTTGGTTTTTTTGTTCTCTTTTATTTTAGGTTTTTTTTTCCTTTTTTTTTTCAGATTACCATAGGAGAATACTGAAATCCTGCTAGACTTAAGAAGGCATTTGACATGCTTATTTTTTACAGAAATATTCAGGCTTTTAAAAACTGCAGCAATGTTGGCTGCAGTTTATATTATCTTGGTATTTTTTTAACGAGGAATAGTTCAAAATGRAAATACTTTTAGAAAATTCACTTTCTGTGTCTAAGGATATTGCAGCTTTATTCACATATTTATATTGTCTTGTTTTTAAATTTGGGGGGGAAACTTGAAAGAATAGGCACATAACTTTTTTTTTTTTTTTACTTTTTTGTTTTTTTGCCTACTAAGGCCAAAAAATATTTCCAGGGAGGCTTTATGTGTATTAAGGGAAGCAGTGTGTTGAATGTAAATATTTATTTATGTGTAATTTAATCGGATTTGTAAATAATGGTGAACTTTTTAATACTTTTTTTTTTTATAAATGGGTTTCAAATTTTAATTTTGGTAAGTATTTCAAAGGTAATGGGTAAGCTAAACATATCTTTAGGTTTATGCACAGGTATGTTATACAGGGTATTTAAGACTTTTTTTTTTTTTTAAATCTCAATTCTTGCCACTGAAGATTAGATTTAATCTGAGGTGTTGGTTCACAAAGCAATAATTTTGTGCATCATTCACCTGGTAACTGAGTAGACCTGCCAAACGAGTGTGTGAGTTAGTGTGTATGTGAGTAACGGGGGTTCCCAACTCTCCTCCTTACATGATTTGTAAATGTTCCCGCTCTCATTCTGATGTATATGATAACCATATAATAAAAGTATTCTGGATAGAAGCACGGAATGTTTGGTTAACTGAGAACAGCTCTGTTTTCTTTCTCTGCTCGGGGAATGTGGGGCGAGTAGCACTAGAGGACATTATGTATTGAGTCATAATTGCAGCACTTTGTTCGGATTAACAGAACAGAAAGATGAAGCTGTTTGCCAGTAAAACTAATGGTTTCAATTAAATGCGTTATGTATCTCCAAGAATCTTGGATTTTTTTTTTTTATTTTTTTTCCTCCCCTTCCCTGAGATGTCATGGTCTTGCCTTCTGCCTGCTTGAATAGGCAGCTTGAACACAAACTGCGAGGCTGCCTCTCAATAAAAATCAATCCTCCCAGCTCTGAATCCTGAATCTGCCTGTGTTGGAATAATCCCTCTCTGATGACAAATATTCACAAAAACTTGGGGTGTGAAATTTGAGAGGTCTCCCCTCTGCTTTCAGCCCAATTTTACTGCTTTGAGGAAGTTTATGTTTTGCAGAGGATCCTCCAAAGTGCTTTGTGCTGTAGGGGTGAGGCAGGAATTGGGATTTTTGGTGTCTCAGATGCAAAATAGCCACACAAACCTTCCTGAAGAGAAATTATGGGTTTTTTTCCCAGTATTTTCTGAACAAGGAACCTGAATCTGGGCTTTGGTGTGTCCTTGGTCCTTCAKGACCTGATCAACCCTCGAGGAAAGTGGCTTGGGCCAACAGGAAAGGTGACACTGGGCTGCCAAGTGAAAATTCAGTTTTTCTGCCAAAGATGTGTAAAAGAGGCAAAAGTACCATTTCTGAACACYTTGCTTATAAATCATCTTGACATTCTCATTTTTCCTTTAAAGGAGAAAGGAAAACCACTGGAGGTGTGCAGGGAGAAGGAAGAGAAGCTCCAAGAAATGAAGGGCTGGGAGAAAAAGCTGTTTTTTGAGTTGCAATCCGGTCCCCTTCTCTCCTGAAGAGGTGTGAAATTCCAGCCTTTGCATTTGTTAGACTCATTGTAGCATTTGAAAAATGAGCATTTTGGACCATCTGTAGGCACAGGCGCAGCCAGGACACATGATGACTAACAGAACTTTGAAAACACAAACAAGAAACCCCTCTGAAGTGTGTTTTTTATGGATCAGATATATTTAGACACAGAAATATTCTGGCTATGGTGAGAATATTGTTTAGAAAATGCAATGCCATGGTTCTGTTCCTTTTTCCCCTCTTTCTGCTGCTGCACCGCTTCCCCAGCACATATAGGAAGATATTTTAGCTACCAGACAATGGAATCTTGCTTTTTTATTTTTTTTTTAATTTATTTATTTTTTTTTTATTTTATTTTATTAATGCACAAAACCAGGCAGTGAAATAATTGCCCCTTGGGATAGGAAATAAGGATGTTTCCATTTATTCCTGCCTGCATTCAAGCAAAGCCAGTCAATTGTCTAATGTACTGACTCGGGGTCTATTCARACATTAGAAATGTGGAGTTTCCATTACCTTGGTGCTTTGCTTTGCTGTGCATCTGAGCTGGGACTTTCTTTTGAACCTTCTAGGCTGTGCCAGTACCATGAAAAACAAAAAATATCTTCTGTTCCAGCTACTGAAAAGAACAGTTGTCTCACCCAAAATTATTAAACTTAAGGAATATGTTTCTTCTTGAGGAATCTAAAGAGAATGATCTGAACACTTCCTGACCCTCAATATTTCATGGTTTTTACTGTTTTTTTTTTGCACAGGCTATTGCTAGGCTGGCTGAAAGAAAGGGAAGTTCTGATGTAAGTCTCTACAGAAGTTGCATTTTTCATTCTCTTTGAAAATGGACTGTTCAAATGTGTCTGTCCAATCTTTTCCCTCGCCCTTCTCCCAGAAAAAGGGGGTTGGTTATAATATGAAGGAAAAAGTTTTAGACTATTAGGGTTTAAAAAAAAAATGAGCACTGCCCTTATGCAAAAATGTTAATTAGATACCCACCCACAAAATTCATGTCACTCAGGAAAAAATTGCCTTGTGGAAAAAGGAAATATTTCAGGCATCTCTTGCCTGGCTGCCAGCAGCAGTTGGGCAGAAGGATTTTGGCTGTTCCCAGGTGGATCCATGGCAGGCACGGAGCTGTGGCATCTCAGGGCAGAGCTTTGTAACCCCATCACCCTGATTGCCACACATCCTTAATTGCAAACCTGAGGATTAGTCAAGAGTCCACCTCATGGAACCCTGGGACTTCATGGCATTGCTGCTTTCGGTTTTTAAAGGATTCTTTTTCCTTGTGTATGCAGCTTCAGAGAAAAAATAATGATGCAAACCAGTAAAATATAACAAATATAAAAATAGAGCTTCTGTCTTAATTTAGTAACTGATTTCAGTTAACATCATTTTTGATTCAAGCATTTCTTTGCCCTCCACTTATTCTTGTAACTTATTGTTTCACCCTGACTCTTGGCTGCAGCCCTGCTGTGTGTTCCTTCAGAGTTTTGCAATCYGAATAAACCCAGAAATGCATCTTGAAATGGCTCTGCCCTTCCTTCTCTGTTTTTTTTTTTCCTGGGTGCAAWGTTTGGGCACATCCCTGTAGCTAAGGATGGGATGGACCTCACTCCTGACAGGGGCTTGGGCTGCTTTTGGGGTCTTGTTCTGCAATAGCAGCTGGAGTGTTTTATTTAGGAAAAAAAATAGGGAGTTCTTGAGGCTTTGTCCTCAAACTGCTACTTCACTAAAAGGACACAGGGTTAGGGACAAAGATGCTACACTGTCACTAAAGGAAATCTTTGAATTGCACATTTCTCTTTATCAATATTTTAGTTTTGGTGTGGGGAACCTGAATTTTGTCAAACCCCCCAGGATCCAGTTGGGATGGTGACCCAAGGAGCTGAGCCATAGGAAATGCAGTTAATAATTAGTTCTGGCCACAGCCAGACTGTCCCGTGGTGGCTTTGGGCAGGGTGGGTGCCACCCAAGGTGTCCCCATGGTCCCTATGGGCCATTCCTGCTGCCCCAAGCCCCAAATCCATGGAACTCCACGGGTGAGCAGCTCTGCCAAAACTGCTCAGTGGCTCCATTTTTAGGGAACCGTTTTTAAACAGTGTTAGATTCTGTTCTGTACCATTTGCTGCCTTCTCCCTCTTCCATTTTCRCTTTCACAGGGTTACATAAAGAAGTTTATTCCCAGTCTCAGATGCCACTTTGCATTCATTGGRTGCTCCATTTTACAGGGATGTTCCAGCTGGTTTCCATGTACCATTGTTGTGTAAGGGCTGCCCACAAATATTCCCTTTTTCCTCTCTTTTAGCTGAGCAGCCCTTTTTAACTGGTTCTTATGAAGGCCTTTCTCACAGGCTGCTACTATTCCATGACACATTCCCTAAACATTCATATGGAATATTTTTTACCCATAATTTAAAATTAAAAGCTTGTTATAATACAGACACTTGCTCCCTGCCACAAAACTCAAATGCTTGTTCATGAGTGCACCAGAAAGTTCAGAGATTGACAATGAACCAAAACCCAGAAGAAATCTTTYAGGTGAGCTTTAGAGTTTATATTTCCAGGTCAATCAGCATAAAAACAGAGGGGGAAGTGGCAGTTTAAACCAAGGGTTGGAAAGAAAATGTTCTTCAGCTGATTGCTGCAATAAAATAATTATTTGCA